ATAGAATAGAATAGAATAGAATAGAATAGAATAGAATAGAATAGAATTCTTTATTGGCCAAAGGTGATTGTCTTCGGTGCATAAGCTCTCAGTGTTCATGAAAACTATAAGTGATATATCATGATCATAATCGTCATAAATGTATTCATCAAGAATCCTAAGATGCAACACTTAGTGATAGTCATAGGGTATCAAACAAGCAATCAAAATCATACAAGGAAACTAAATAAAACAATATAAATTGTAAAGATACAAGCAACCAGGTTATAGTCATAAGTAGAAAAGGAAATAGGTAAAAGGAAGGATGAGAAGAATAACAGTAGTGCAGACGTTGCAAATAGTTGGACAATGTTGAGGGAATTATTTGTTTAGCAGAGGGATGGCGTTCGGGGAAAAACTCCCCTTGTGTCTCGTTTTTCTGGTGTGCAGGGCTCTATAGCGTCATTTTGAGGGTTGGAGTTTGAAACAGTTTATGTCCAGGATGTGAGGGGTCTGTAGATATTTTCACAGCCCCTAGATCTGACAGATTTCTGCCCAGCCACTGATCAGGATCATGCTTTGCTTGGAGCTTTGATCTAGCTGGCAACTGAGATACGAAAGCGGAGGTGATCCTCTTCCAACTGTTCCTGTCTTCTCCAGATCATCGGGGGACCCATGACGGTGGTGGAAAATGTGGACAAAATGGCTTCCAGCCTCCATCAGCTCCTGAGCCCCGAAAGGGCGAAAGTCACATTTCACAGTAAGAATATTGGTAAGTGAGACCAAACTCTCTGCCCTCTCTGTTATGGGCCACGTCCTTGATCCCGTGCAAATGTTTGGGGCGAAGAAGGTTTTCCTGGGGGGTTATTAGAGGACCTTTTTCCCTCTCAGGGAATCCTGGGAGTTGAAGTCCCCTTCTTAAAAGGACAAGAGGTTGAGAAATGCTGATCTAGCACACAATGCTGGAATCGGTGGTTTTAACCAATTCAGAGAGATGGAAGGGACCTCGTAGGTCATCTTCTCACCTGGGGTATCCTCCGTCATCCGCAAGGATCGCCAGAGAGCAGGACAGGAAATAATGGTTGGAAACTAAACAAAGGGAGAAGCAACCTGGAATTAAGGAGAAACTTCCTAACTGGGAGGAAAATTAACCAGTGGAACTGTTTGCCACCAGAAATGGGTGGGTACTTCATCACTGGGGGTTTTTAAGAAGAGACTGGATGGCCACTTGTCTGAAATAGTATAGGTTCTCCTGCTTGAGCAGGGGGCTGGACTAGAAGACCTCCGTGGTCCCTTCCAGCTATTCTATTCTATTCTATTCTATTCTACTCTATTTCTTTCTTTTCTGTAATTCTATTCCCTTCTATTCTATTCTGTAATTTTATTCTATTCTATTCTGTAATTCTGCTCTATTCTATAATTTTGTTCTATTCTGTAATTCTACTGTAATTTTATTCTACTGTAATTCTATTCTTTAATTCTATTCTGTAATTCTACTGTATTCTGAAATTCTAATAATTCTATTCTATTCTATTCTATTCTATTCTATTCTATTCTATTCTATTCTATTCTATTCTGTTCCTATTCCTATTCCTATTCTATTATTCTGTTCTGTTCCAATTCCATTCCATTCCATTCCATTCCATTCCATTTATTCTATTCCTATTCCATTATTCTATTCTATTCTATTCTGTTCTGTTCTGTTCTATTCTATTCTACTCTACTCTACTCTACTCTACTCATCCTTGGTCCCGCATCTCTAGATGCGTTTGATGCTCTTTTGGTCAGTGGCCACAAGAGGGTGCTTCTACTCCTGTCTTCCCTTATGTGTTTTTCATGGCTCTCATAAAATATTTCAAAATTAATTTAACTTAGGTAGGCGCCATTTCATACGCAGGGTGCAAGGCGCCCCTTATTTTTCTCAGCATGGAGAGGAACCCTTGCAAGGCCCTTGAGCAGCCTCGTGTAGAAATATTGTGGGGTCCTTCCATGCATGCCCAACGTTGGGTCTCCCCGCTTCCAGGGATCGAGGTGCGACGGGCAGAGCTGGGCCCAGAGAGAGCTGGCGGGGGGGCCTCCCTGATGCCAACCCACCGCTGGGACCAGCTGGATGCGATTGAGATCCCAGCAGAGGAAGTGGAGCGCCTGAGAGTGAAAGGTAAGGTCAGGGACAACGGCAGGTAGGTTCTCCAAAATGTCCTCCCTTCTATTTGAAACTTTGCGCCAGAGAAAAAAATCTACAAGGGCTGTTTTGAAGAGGTCCAAAGGAGACACTCAGAATGGAAGAACTCCAGAAAAATTAGCAGGTACCAATAAATATTTGCAGTTCAGGACTGTCAGACTTCTGAATGGAAAAATAACTTGATGTCAACATAGTATGACAGATTTGCAGGGCTGGCGCATTGGGCAACTAGGTTACATAATATAATAAGATCGGGACAGGGTTAGGGGCTTCTGTCCTCACTGTGAGTTGTGTGTGTGGGGTGTGTGTGTGCATGAAAGGAGGCTCAGCCAATCTAATTGTACACATGTTGTACTTTGACAATAAAGGTAATAATAATAATAATAATAATAATAAAAATAATAATAAAAATAATAATAAAAACGAGGGGGTCCTTGGTGCTCTCTGAGTTTGGTAGTTTTCTTGCAGACGTTTCATGACCCAACAAGGTTACTGCATCAGTGTTGGAAGGGAGTGGACTTTATGGAGGGGGCAGGAGGAGGAGGAGGAGTTGGACTATGGGGTCTTTGATGCACTCTGAGTAATTTCCTTGCAGGCGTTTCATTACCCGATTAGGTTACTTCCTCAGTTTTAGAAGGGAGTGGGCTTTATGGAAGAGGGGGAGGGGGAGGAAGAGAATGACTGTGGGGTCCTTGATGCTCTGAGTAATTTCTTTGCAGACATTTCATTACCCAATTAGGTTACTTCATCCGTGTTAGAAGGAAGTGGACTTTATGGAGGAGGAGGAGGAAGAGGAGGAGGAGGAGGTGGAGGAGGAGGAAGAGGAGGAAGAGGAGGAGGAGAGTTGAATTGTGGGGTCCTTGATGTTCTTGGAGCTTGACTGTTTTCTTGCAGACATTTCATTACCCAATTAGGTTACTTCATCTGTGTTAGAAGGAAGTGGACTTTATGGAGGAGGAGGAAGAGGAGGAGGAGGAGGGGGAGGGGGAGGAAGAGGAGGAGGAGGAGGAGGAGGGGGGGGAGAGTTGGATTGTGGGGTCCTTGATGTTCTTGGAGCTTGATTGTCTTCTTGCAAACATTTCATTATCCGGCTAGGATACATCATCAGTGCTACAAGAGAGAGTCGGTTTGTCTCTATGCTTATATACAATTCCTTCTGGCACTGATGATGTTACCTAGTTTGGGTGATGAAACGTCCACCAGAAGACCACCAAGCTCAGAGAGCCCCAAGTACCCTTAAAATTAAACAGAGGGTGGGGGGAGCGAGAAGGAAAGGACCAGGTGGACTTCAACGGGCCTTCATTAGCCTCCTGCTTGGACCTCTCATCTTCTCACCTTGAGCTTCTGCACCACCAGTCTTCTCCCGTTGACTTCCCGTCTTCTCCCTTTCTCCAGGCCTGCGTCAAATCACCCTCACCCATACCTGGTACAGCTATGGAGCCCTCCAGCACCTTCTGGCCAGCAGCAGTGCTGTGTTCAAAGACGCCGCTGTGTCCGACGGAGGACGGAGGTGGGTCCCTCACCACACGGAGTCCTTGGTTTTGGAAGGGAACCAAATAGCATCATTCAGCCATCACTTCCACTTCCATCCATCGTGCCTGGATACAGCATCCAATTTGGGTGGTGGTGGGGGTGTTTCCAATCCTCAGTCAATCAATCCGTCAAAATAGAGCTGGAAGGGACCTTGGAGGTCTTCTAGTCTAGCCCCCTCCAACCATGCAGGAGATCCTATCCCATTTCAGACAAGTGGCTGTCCAGTCTCTTCTTAAAAACCTCCAGTGTTGGAGCAGCTACAAGTTCTGGAGGCAGGTCGTTCCACTGGTTAATTCTCCTCCCTGTTAGGAAGCTTCTCCTTAATTCCAGGTTGCTTCTCTCGTGGATGAGTTTCCATCCGTTGCTTCTTGTCCTGCCTTCTGGTGCTTTGGAGAATAATTTGTTCCCCTCTTCTTTGGGGCAGCCCCTCAAATCCTGGAAGACCGCTATCAGGTGGACTTCCACGGGCCTTCATAAGTCTCCTTGCTTGGACCTCCCATCTTCTCGCCTTGAGTTTCTTCTGCACCACCAGTTAATTCTTCTTTCCTCTAGACTTAGCCAGACCCAAATCCCGTAACCGTTCTCGTTGTGTTTTAGTCTTGCAGGCCTTTTTAATCACCTTCGTTGCTCTTCTCTGCGTTTCTTCCCCTCAGAGTCTCAACTTCCATCAAAATCACAACAATCCAAGCCTCCCAACTCCATTCAGGAGAGGTTGGCGGAGCTTCCCCTACCAATTTTCCTCCTGGTGGGATTACCTGCAAGGCTTTCTCTCACCTGGCAACTTTGGAAGAGACCGATATTGCCCAAACCGCCCTTGCGGGTGGGCTTGTCTTTCTCGCTGATGGGCACAAGAGGGCGCTGTTGCTTTAAAAAAAAACAAAAAAACGAATGAGCCGGGAGGCACCCTGGAGGTCTTCTAGTCCAGCCCCCCCTGCTCAAGCAGGAGAACCTATGTAATCTCAGACAAGGGCCTGCCAGTCTCTTCTTAAACACGCCCAGTAATGAAGCAGCCATGATTTCTGGAGGCAAGCAGTTCCACTGGTTAGTTGTCCTCCCAGTTTGGAAGTTTCTCCTTAATTCTAGGTTGCGTCTCTCCTTGATGAGTTTCCATCCATTGTTTCTTGTTTTCTCTTCTGGTGCTTTGGAGAATAAGTTGACCCTCCCTCTTCTTTGTGGCTGCCCCTCAAATACTGGAATGCTCCTATCTTGTCACCCCTTAATTCTTCTTTTCTTCAGACTAGCCAGACCCAAATCCTGCAGCCCTTCTTCATATGGTTTAGTCTCCAGGCCTTTCATCCTCTTAGTTGCTCTTCTCTGCACTTCTTCCAAAGTCTCAACATCTTATTTTGTTTTTGTAACGTGGTGACCAAAACTGGTTGCAGCCTTCCAGGTGTGGCCTTACTAAGGCTTTATAAAGCGGTACTAACACTTTATGCGATATTGATTCTATGTCTCTGTCTATACAACCAAGGATTGTGTTGGCTTTTTGGGCTGCTGCCGCACACGGCTGGCTCCTATTCCAGCGATCGTCCACCAGGACTCCAAGATCCCTCTCACAGTTACTGTTTTGGAGCCTAATCCATATTTATACCTTTGATTTTTCCTGCCTACAAGTAAAACGTTGCTTTTCTCCACACTGAAATTCATTTTGTTGCATAGGGACCCTTGTTCAAGTGTGTCAAGATCTATTTGAATCTTGAGTTTGACCCCTCGTGTCATATTTTCTCGCCGCTGGGCACAAGAGGGCACTGTTACCTTTTTTAATCCCACCTTCTCTTCCTCCCCGCCTTCCCCCACCCCCCAAAAAAACCCCAATTGCTAGGAAAAAAAGGACAAATTATTGTGAAATCTCCAACTTTTGTTCAGAGATTTAATTCTGCCTAAGGGTGAATTGAACGGGCCTCCCCAATCCGATTAACCTTTTAAGTTTGCTTCATTTTTACTGTTTAGTCTCTGGGTCTTTCATCGTTTTAGTTGTGAAGAAGAGCAATTAAGATGATTAGAGGCCTGGAGATTAAAACATGAAATAAAAAAATGGTTGCAGGAACTGGGTCTGTCTAGTCTAATGAAAAGAAAGACTAGGGGAGACACGACAGCAGCCTTCCAATATCTCAGGGGTTGCCCCAAAGAAGAGGGAGTCAAGCTATTCTCCAAAGCACCTGAAGGCAGGACAAGAAGCAATAGGTGGAAACTAACCCAGGAGAGAAGCAACTGAGAACTAAGGAGAAATTTCCTGATATTTAGAACCATTAATCAGCGTGAATAACTTGTCTCCAGAAGTTTTAAATGCTCCAAACCTGGAAGGTTTTAAGAAGAGGTTGGACCACCGTTGGTCTGAAGTGATGTAGGGTTTCTTGTCTAAGCAGGGGGCTGGACTAGAGGCCTTCCAGCTCTACTCTGATTGATTGATTGATTGATTGAACCAGAAGAATGGCTTGCTTTCAAGAGTTGTGGGCTTTTTAAGAGACTAGACAGCCTCTATCCGCACGAAGGACCAGCTGTGCCCTGGAACCCAGAAGAGCAACGGGTGGAGAGGTGGCTCTGCGTGCTACTTCCGCCACGCGGGTCCTAGGTTTGCCATCACAGGAGGGACTCTCCTGCTTGACCGTGGGGTAGGACTAGAGGCCCTTCAGCCCCTCTTTATACCCTGTTATTCCTCCCGCAGTTGAGAAGATGGGATGGGGGATTAAGAGTTGATTGACGTACAAGATGGGGTCCTGCAGATTTCTGGGGAGCTTCGTTGCAACTCCTGAGGGGTGGGATGGGGTGGGGTGAGAAACGGTCGGCCACTTCCCCAATTTTCTCCCTTCTTCGGCTGGTGGGGGGCGCAGAAGCCGCCACCCAGCCTGCCATCTTCCTCTTCTTAGGCATTTGAGCACCCAAGTGGCCTCTTCCATCATCTCCTCCAGCTTGGTCAGCAACTATGAGGAAATCAGTACGTCGGTGCGGTACCGTCTCCGGCACCGGGTTCAGGTGAGGAGGCTTTGGAGAGAAAGGGAGGAAGCTGTGGGGGGAGGTAGGAGAAAAGGGAAGGTGGGAAAGGGGTTCCGAAAGGACCTCAGGCCGGTCCATTTTTTACCACCAAGGACCGTGTTTCCTTGAGGGGAACAATTGGGACCCGCAGAGCATCATCTGTGGACTCCTATCTGTCAGAAAGTGGCCTTAGGGTCTCCTGCTTGGGCAGGGGGTTGGACTAGTTGACCTACAAGGTCCCTTCCAACTCTGATGATCTGTTAATGATCTTCAGACGCCGAAAACGGGCAGATCTTTCATCTTTTTTCCTTCCCTCTCTTTCCCCCCCTCTTTCCTTGCTTTCTCCCATCATTACATTCAGTCCCCACACCCAGATAGGTAGTCCTCAACTAACCACATTTAGTAACCCTTCAAAGTTACACCGGCGCTGGAACAAAAAAAAAGCGATTTATGGCCTTTTTTCCCCACGTGGGAGCATCCCCACCGGCCACGTGATCAAAATTTGGAGGCTTGGCAAACGATTCATAGTTATGACGGTCATTGCAGCATCCCCGGGGGTGTGTGTGTGTCATGCAATCTCTGACTCTTTGGGGAAGCCGGATTCCCTTAAGAACTGTGTGACTAGTTGAACAACGGCGGTGATTCGCTTACAAGGAAGGTTGTTAAAAACGGGACAAAAAAAACCCCACTTAACAACTGTCTCGCTTAAGGATAGAAATTTGGGGGCTCAATGGTAGACATACGTCGAGGACCCCACCTGTTCTTTTCCCCAAAATATCTCAACACTTATTTCGCCCATTTTTTGCCATCCAACCCTCCTTCTCAGGATCAAAATGGGTCTCCAGAGATCTATATTGACCATTTTCAGCCTTGAAACCCCAATGTTCCTTGGGGGTTTTGTCCCAAAGGTGCTTTTTTCTTTTTTTCCCAAGAGGCGATTGGATTTTCTTGGTTTTGCCTTGAAGAGGTTTCACTTCTCATCCCAGAAGCTTCTTCCATTCTGATTGGATGGTGGTGAAGAATGGAAGGATTTAGATTCCTTTCAGAACAGCTGGTCGTTTGCATCCTTTTTAGAGGGTTGTTTGAGGCCATTTGGAGGGTCACTGAGGAGCACAAATGAGTGTAGAGCCGGGCTGTCAAATTCCCGGTCCGCAGGCCGGATGCGTCATGTGCTGGCCACGCCCACACCCAGTTTAGCGAAGGGGGAAAAAGTCCTGATACATCACATGGCGCCACCACGACGACATGTTTGACACCCCTGGTGTGGAGCCTTCTTGGAACTGTTGAAAGGACCATATTGCAGACTTTGTTGGTTCTTTCACGAGTTCCCAGAACACTCCACGCTCATTTGCGCTACTCAGGTGACCCTGAAGACACAAGTAAACCTCCAAGTGGCCTCAACGATTCTCTAAAAGGGTGCAAATGACCGGCTGTCTGCAAGGAGGATAAATCCTTCCATTCCCCACCATCCAGTCAGAGCTGAAGAAGCTTCTTGGTTGAGAAGCAAAACCTCTTCAAAGAAAAACCAGAAAGTCCAGTTGGCTCCTGAAAAAATATCTTTGGGACAACTGTGATCTGGAGGACGGAGAATTTCTACAGACTTTTAGCTATGCACTTTGGGGATGAAGGCCCTTGGTGCAGGAGGAGGAATGGATTTCCAGAAAAAATATTGCAGATTACAGGAACCATTTGCGCTACTCAGGTGTCCTCGAGGACGCAGAGTAACCTCCAAGTGGCTTCAACGACCCTCTAAAAAGGATGCAAACGACCAGCTGTCTGCAAGGAGGATAAATCCCTTCCATTCCTCACCATCATCCAGTCAGAGCTGAAGAAGCTTCTTGGATGAGAAGTGAAACCTCTTCGAAGAAAAACAAAGAAGGTCCAGTTACGTCTTGGAAAAAAAGGTCATCTTTGGGATAACCATGACGGATAATCCGCAGAGACCTTCAGCCCCAAAGGTACTTTTTCCAAGAGTCAACTGGGCTTCCTTTGTTTTTCATTGAGGACATTTTACTTCTTCTCCAAGAAGCTTCTCCAGCTCTGATTGGACTAGTGGCAGGGATGGGCTGCTGGCGGGCTGGCAGGCATTTGGGAGAGCCCCTAGCTAAGATCCTGTGCACCCCCAAATCTCACTCCTTGGCTGGCCCTGCCTACCCCTACCCCTCCCCTCTCTGGAGCCCCCACGAGGTCCATTTTGGATGCAGGTAAGTGCAGGGCCAACGCAAAAGCCCACCCCTGGGTGGAGAATGGAAGGTCAGCATCCACAATCCACAATCTGGGCTCTTTTTGAGCTTCTGAAGATCAGCACGTCCCTGGCATGTTTTTTTTTTAAAACGAAACACCAAGATCCTGTTTAGAAGGTCACCCCAAACTTCAAGGAAGGGGCATAGCGGGCCTTAGTTTGTGGTTGAAAGGAGCCCGGCCGCCTTTCATGAATTAAAACAAGACCTTTTCCTTCACGTATAACCCCAAAACAACAGGGAGATTTAGGGGAAATCTACGGCTGGTGCCATCCGGTCAACTTATCAAGATGAAGCCAAGGCTTTGCCAAGGAGAACTTCCAAGAAACCCACAAGCGAGCATTTTCGGGTCAGGACGAGACCTCGCCTGGCCAGCATCTCTCACGATTCCCTTGCCGCAAAGGCATTCTCTAACTTTCTGAACTTCCTTTCTCCGTAGGCTTTAGCAGACCAGCTTGTAGAAGCAGTGTGTGCTTTCTGGGACTTCAGCAGAAGGTAGGCGATTCGGAGGTGTCCCCCCAGTTGCAATTTTGAGAAAAGGCGAGGTAGGAAAGAAAGAATTTGGGGACACGGAGTAGACCTTGTTGATAGCCTTGCTGATTTCAGCAAGAAGCTACTCTCGACAGAAGCTACTCTCAACTGTCTCTCAACTCTCAACTTTCAACTCTCTTGAAAGTTGCAGCTGCCTAATGAGGACATCAATGGACAAATTGTTTGCCCCAAAGTCTATTGCTGAGTCCCACAGGGCTTCCTGCTAAAACCTTCCTCCTAAAGCAGACTGAACCCAGTGTTTATCTGCGTCCACCATGCTTCACCCTGTTGTAGAAGACCTTCTTGAGAAGCGGGGGGGGGGTCTTCAAACTTGACAGCTTTAAGACTTGGTGGACTTCAACTCCCAGAATTCCTCCTCCAGTTCTGTTAGCTCAGGCATTCTGGGAGTTGAAGTCTACAAGTCTTATGCTTTGCCAAGTTTGAAGAGCCTTGCACTAGAGTCTCCACCGTGCCAAGTTTAAGATGGGCCTCAACTCCCAGAATTCCCCTGAGATACTTCTTGAGAAGGTTTGAGGTGGAGAAAGACTGCCGTAAGACTTGTAACCCTTAAAGCAAGGGTCTTCAAACTTGATAGCTTTAAGACTTGTGGACTTCAACTCCCAGAATTCCTGAGCTAACATGACTTGAGGAGGAATTCTGGGAGTTGAAGTCCACAAGTCTTAAACTTGCCAAGTTTGAAGAGCCTTGTGCCAGAGTCTCAAGTGTTTCTCCACCTTGCCAAATTTAAGATGGACCTCAACTCCCAGAAGTCCCCTGAGATACTTCTTGAGAAGGTTTGAGGTAGAGAAAGACTGCCGTAAGACCTTAAAGCAAGGGTCTTCAAACTTGATAGCTTTAAGACTTGGTGGACTTCAACTCCCAGAATTCCTCCTCCAATCATGTTAGCTGAGGAATGCTGGGAGTTGAAGTCCACAAGCCTTAAACTTGCCAAGTTTGAAGAGCCTTGTTCTTGAGTATATACCCCAACCTATGAACTAGCAGTGGGATCCTACCGGTTCAGTGATTGCGTGCGCGCACACCTTATGCGTGCACACCTGACACACACGCACAGCTTTCCACACACCAGCTGAGGCCTGAAGCGCCAATCAGCTGAGAGGATATAGAAGAGAAGGGAGCCGGGATGGGTAAGAGGGCCAATCCTAGCTTTTCTCTTTCGCCTCTCAGCTCATTGTGGGAGGCTTATTTTTGCTACCGGTTCGGGTGAACCGGGCCAAACCGGTAGCATACCACACCACTGCTATGAACCCACAGCAACAGCAACCAACACAACCCACCCAACCTTTTCTGAAAGTGGTCTGTTAACTGCATTGCCCCACAAGTACGTCGCACACAACTTAATCGCTCAGTCGGGGCCCCCAATGGTTGGGTTGCGTTTGAAGTAGATGAACCAGGGAAGGTTTTTTTAAGGAAAGCTTTTAGGAAAGGAGAATGAGAGTTGGATCAAGGTCTGTGGAGATTGTTCTCCGCTCCTTTCCATGGGCACCGTCCTTGGGGCGGGAGCAATTTGGGGTCCAGGGTTTGAGCATCTGGGCCCAGAAGGTTTTCCTGCTTTTCAGTCCTGAAGGTGTTGGAGGCTGGTCCACCAGAGGTTGCTCGGTGTCTTCTTCTCAGGAGGATCTAACCATCTGCACCTGTAACCACACCACCAACTTCGCAGTCCTGCTGCAGGTCTATGAAGTTCAGGTTAGAAGCGGGTCGGGAGGTCTTCGTTCCCTATGGAGGAAGATACTTCTTGGGGGGGGGGGGCTTCGGTGGAACCATGGGGAGAACATGGACCCACATTTGGTTGGAGAATCCTCCCTTTTCCAGATCTTTTCCCTTCCCACCCCTGTGCAAAACCTGATGAGCCAAGAGCCAAGAGCTGAACTGGCCCATTGCAAGGAAGCCATTGAGGTGAGCCCTCGGGGGCCACCTCACCCCTTGATCAGGTTGTCTCTGTTTCCTGCAGAGGAGCCTAGAGGAAGAGTCCACGCTGAAGACCCTGACGTTTGTGGGCTGTGGCGTGTCCTTCTGTGCCTTGATCGTCACCTTGGTGCTCTTCTTAGCTGTTGGGTAAGTCTGAAATAACACAAATGGACACACGCTTATCAAGTCATCTCCTTGGCCAGCTCCACACGGCCTCTTGAAACCAACCAACCGAGTGAGCTTTGTTCCCACAACCGTCTGGAACATCTAACCAAGATAAAGACTTGAGGTCCTTCCTTGGCCTGGATGAACCAGTTGTGTGAGTCCAGATTCAGAGTGGGAAGGGATCTTAAAGAGAAGATCCCTTCCCCTAACCCTCTCAAGGCCCCATTTAGTACCTCTAATAAAGGAGAAAATTGCAGTAGGACAATACACTTTGTCGTTGTTGTTAGTTGCAAAGTCGTGTCCGACCCATCACAACCCCATGGACAATGTTCTTCCAGGCCTTCCTGTCCTCGACCAACTTCTGGAGTCCATTTAAGTTCACGCCGACTGCTTCAGGGGCTCCATCCATCCCCCTCCTTCTCTGCCATCCCCTTCTTCTTATTTTCCCCTTCATCTTTCCCAGTGTGAGGCTCTTCTCTAGTGAGTCCTTCCATCTCACGAGGTGGCCAAAGCCTCTGAGCTTCATCTCAGGATCTGGCCTTGTCAGGGTTGATCACGTCTAGGGTGGAAGGGTTTCATCTACACTTAGTAGAGCTTGTGCCTAAATCTTTTTTTCCCCCTTTCAACAGGGTCCCCAAAAGTGAACGAACCACAGTGCATAAAAACTTGATCTTTGCCTTGGCTGCCGCAGAAGCCTTGTTAATGTTCAGTGAATTGGCCAAGATCAACCAGGTCAGGAGAAGAGCTGGGAAACAGGAGGAGAACCACCTATGTGATGTCCTACCTGTGCTAGCTGAATGGGGGGCCATGGAGAATCCCATCTTCCCCCTGACATCTGACCAAAGGGCTCCCCGTTTCTCTCCAGGGTGTTTGCTTCGCTGTCACAGCCTTTCTCCACCTCTTCTTCATGGCGGCCTTCGCTTGGATGTTGGTGGAAGGTCTTCTGCTCTGGAGCAAAGTAGTGGCCGTCAACATGAGCGAGGATCGGAGGATGCGGTTCTACTATGTGACCGGTTGGGGTTTGTATCCCAGAGGTCAAGAAGGGGAAGGGGCAACGGGAAGACCCGTGGAGTTCTTCTTCCTTTGAACCAGTTGACCCAACTTGAGTAGATCAGAGGTCTACTGTGAGCTCCACTCATCGTACGCGCTGATGGGAAGGAATGGAGTGGATTTCCAGTAGGGGAGAACCACATTGGGGAAGGAGCAGTCGAGTCCGTTGGATGGAAAATCGCCAACTCCTCATGTCAATTGGACATCTCTGTAGCTGACATGAACCCAGCGGTGGGATTCAGCTGGTTCACGCCGGTTCGAGCAAATCGGATGTTAAATTTATATCTGGTTCGCCGAACCGGTAGTTGAACTAACTGGATGGCCTTGCCCACCCCCGCCCTTCCCCTCCCAGGTGTTTCCACACTGCCCGTTTTGGGTGCAGGTAACTGCAGGGTCCGTGTGGAGGTTCTGGGAAGATGAAAAATGGCCCTTCTTGAAGTTCTGGAAGTCTAGAAATGGACACAGGACCCTCGTCTGAGTCCTCTCCAGAATCCTAGACTGGTCCCCGTTCTTCCCCATTGTCTGATTCCGCTGCCGTCTGCACTGACTGCTGGCGAACCACAACAACATGTGTTACTTGAAACTCGGAGACGACAAGTTGGGTGACCTTCCTAGGATAGACCAGAAAGGGACAAGGCAGGTGCTAGTTAGAGACAATGAAACGCTGAAGCAGAGGTCAGCTGTGGTCCTTCCTCAACGGCCAAGTGGACTGTGGGAGATGGGATGGACACTGACCTACCAATCTCTCCCTTCCTTGCAGGGCTTCCTGTGCTGATCGTTGGTGTCACTTTGGCTACGTCGTTCAACAAATACGTGGCGGACAATCACTGTTGGCTGAATGTGCAGACGGAGGTCATCTGGGCTTTTGTGGGGCCCGTCCTCTTTGTCCTAACAGTAAGGGCCAAAGTCTTTTTGCTTAAACCCCTGGCCTTCCTCATCCAGCCTCTTGCATTTTTGAAGGGCCCAGAAATTAGGAACCATTCATGCCCACCGTCAAAGAAGTTGCTTGCAACTTCGACATTTCGATATGTCCAACATCACCTTGGGTACCAGTGGGATTGTTCCTCAGCATCAGTGGAGTCGAACTTGGAATCATCTACAGGCAAAGCTATGATACTTGCAATTCCCTGACCCACCAAGCCTTGAATTAATCACCTTAGATAGGTACAGTCAGTACATTATTTAGCAGTAACGTCACCGTACTTTCAGGTGAGACTTTTTGGGCTCTGCCAGCTGGGTCCAAGGCTATTTCTGTAGACACATAACAGGATAACAGAGTTGGAAGGGACCTTAGAGGTCTTCCTGGCCTAGTCAGGAAACCCTACACCCCTTCAGACAAATGGTTATCCAATCTCTTCTTAAAAACTTCCAGGGTTGGAGCATTCACAACTTCTGGAGGCAAGTGGTTCCTCTGGTTAATTGTTCTCACTGTCAGGAAATTTCTTCTTAGTTCTTCTTTGTTTCTCCTCGATTAGTTTCCACTCGTTGCTTCTTGTCCTGCCTTTTAAGTGCTTTGAAGAATAGCTTGACTCCCTCTACTGTATGGCAGCCCCTCAAATATTGGAACACTGCTATCGTGTCTCCCCTAGTCCTTCTTCTCATTAAACTAGACACACCGCAAAGTCCTACCTGTCAACGACTACTTCAGCTTCAACCGCAATAACACACGGGCGAACAATAGATACAAACTCAATGCAAACCGCTGCAAACTCGGTTGCCGAAAGTACGACTTCAGCAACAGAGGGATCAATGCCTGTAATACACTACCTGACTCTGTTGTTACATCCTAAGCCCCCACTCCTTTCACCTTAAACTATCCACTATTCCCCTCACTCCGTTCCTAAGAGGTCTGTAAGGGGCGTGCGTAAGTGCACCAGCGTGCCTCCCATATACTTACACTTGTTTATATTTATATGTTCATATGTTGTTAATAGTTATACTTGTTTTCTCAAACAAATACATAAAATAAACAAAATACCTAATTCCTGCAACCGTTCTTTATAGGTTTCAGCCTCCGGTCCCCCAATCACCCCGGTTGCTCTTCTCTGCACTCTTTCTAGAGTCTCAACCTCTTTTTTACAGCGTGGAGACCAAAACTGGATGCAGTATTCCAGGGGTGATTTTACTAAAGCATTATTAAGTAGTATTAACACTTCACAGCATTGGCTTTTTTGGAAGCTGCAACACGCTGCCGGCTCCTATTTAAGTGGTTGTCCACTAGAACTGCAAAACCCCTCTCACAGTTACTGCTATTGAGCGAGGTAGCACATATACCGTACCTGGGCCTTTGGTTTTTCTTGCCTAAATGTAGAACCTGACTTTTTTCACTACTAAATTTTATTTGTTAGGGTTTAACTCTATTTCCTAAAGCACCTGTAGGCCAGACAAGAAACTGGAGAAGGAGAGATTCAACCTGGAAATAAGGAGGAACTTTCTGACAGTGAGAACAATCAACCAGTGGAACAGAAGTTGCCTTCGGAAGTTGTGGGAGCTTCATCCCTGGAGGCTTTCAAGAAGAGACTGTCAGAAATGGTGTAGGGTCTCCCACTTGGGTGGGGGGTTGGACTAGATGACCTACAAGGTCCCTTCAAATTCTGTCAATCTGTTAATCTGTTAGGTGTGGTCCTTCTAGGCTGCCCAGAAGGAAAATCTGGGGGCCTTTCTTCACAGTCCTTGTCCTTGTCATTTAGGTGAACACCTTTGTGCTGTTCCGAGTGGTGATGGTGACAGTCTCCAGCGCACGGCGTCGGTCACGGATGCTGACCCCCAACAGCAGCTTGGAGAAGCAGATTGGGATTCAAATCTGGTGAGTCAGACCCAGGGGGGCCTCTCTTCCTTCCTCGTGGGTGCAAAGCTAGACAGCTTAACAGATTAGCAGAGTTGGAAGGGACCTTGTAGGTCATCTACTCCAACCGCCCACCCAAGCAGGAGACCCTACACCATTTCTGACTGATGGCAGCCCAGTCTCTTCTTGAAAACCTCCAGGGATTGGCTATTTTCCAAAGCACCTGAAGGCCAGGAATAATGGATGGAAACTGACCAAGGAGAGATTCAACCTGGAAATAAGGAGGAATTTCCTGACAGTGAGAACCATCAACCGGTGGAACAGACGTTGCCTTCGGAAGTTGTGGGAGCTTCATCCCTGGAGGCTTTCAAGAAGAGAGCGGACTGCCATCGGTCAGAAATGTTGTAGGGTCTCCTGCTTGGGTGGGGGGTTGGATTGGATGACCTACAAGGTCCCTTCCAACTCTGTTCACCTGTAAAATTTCTGCCCAATGTTTCTGGAGGACAGAGGACCGTTTAGAAACCGGACCAATAAGAATAGAGCACCTTATATATATATATTTTTCCCCACCTTTGGAAGGGACATCCCTGGACGACACCGGTTTCCGTCTCTCCAACCTGTTCTTCCAAAGCCATCTCTTGATGCTTAGAGCCACCGTGCCCCTCTCTTCTCCTCACCTCTGCTCCACACTCAGCGTTATCTCCCCGAGCTTCCTCCGATAAGCCCGGCGGATGGCAATCTCTTTGTTGCTTTTTCAGCTGGCGCCGTGGGCAGCCACAAAAACACACACACTGTTCCTCTGGTGTTGTAGATAGCCTCCACGCGGTTTTGCAGGGCTGAAGGTGGAGGCCGGGCGATGGAGGGCGAGATGACATCTTTTGCAGTTGGGGGCTTGGTGGCATCTTCAACCTCTGGGTGGGTAGGATGACTTAGAAAGAGCAAAATAAATAAATAAAAAGGTCCCCGATTGAACCGGCCTGCAAAATTAAAGCCGTGTTAGACTGGTTTCCACTGGGCTCCATTGCGGCTCTTCTAACTCCTTGCAAAACCTCCGATGAAGAAATCAGGATTTTAGAAAAGTCGCCCACAATACATTCCGTTCTTTTGGGTCTCACTTCAACCTCTGGATAGAGGGGTCAGATTCAAAGCTTTCTGGAATGGTGATGGACTGAGGACAAGGGTCTCTTTCTATCTTGACAAGGAGCAAAATAAAAGAGGGGGGTTGTCTGGTTTTTGTTTGGAGGTAATTTGGAAAGACCTACGGATTATTTCTCCGTATGTGGTTGTGGAATCTCCTTCTGTCGCACGCGCTGAGAGCCACCTCAGGCTTTGAGATAAGGAAAAAACCCAGAGCAGAAGATTACAACCCGAGTATCTTTCCACCCGAGACAGAGAGAAGGATGGAGAAATTGCCTCCAAATGAACCGAGTCCAGTTTTGGGGCTTGGCTAGGAAGAGGCCAACTTTTCCACGCACCCCTTGTTCTGCTCCATTTCCAGGGCCACCGCCAAACCCATCTTGGTGCTGCTCCCTGTCCTGGGCCTGACCTGGGTATGCGGCATCCTTGTTCACCTCAGCGTTACCTGGGCCTACATCTTCATCATGCTAAACTCCCTCCAGGTGAGCAAAGCTTCTCTCTGAAACATCTGCAGAAGGTTCTTGCAGCTCCAAGCAAAGCCCAGCAGGAGTTGCGAGGAAGCAGAACTTTTGCGTCCAAGGGACACGGGCAAAAAGTGAACCCCAAAAGTTTATTTACTGGTCTCGGCTGTGAACTGGGTGCCCCCAAAACACACACCTTTTTCTAGGCAATTGACCACGTTTTCTTAGATGCTCCTATGGGAACCATACAGCGTCAACAGTGGCCCTTGGGTTCAGCAGTTGTTGTTAGTTGCAGTTTGAACCTCGGTCAGAAATTCTTGCTGAGAGGGGTGGATAGAAATAAGGGGGCACTCCTCTCAAAGCCATGAAGTAGTTCCTTGAATTTGGTCTCAGCAGAATACAAGCCCAGCCTACTGTCAGTCGGTTAATCGATCGATCGATTGATCAGAATGGAGCTGGAAGGTGCAATGTCTCGTGGACACAAAACATAGTTTAGCAAATATAATTTTGATTGACTACTTGACTCAGGCTTTTCCTCCGAGACGAATAGTCTCGATCAAATTCCTTTATTAAATACTACACTGTTTAATAATGTATTAAAATTAATAGGATGTAATAGTAAGAATATTACATTATGAAATACTACACTTGGGAAAAACCTCCCCTTTTCCTCTTTCCCTTCTCGTTCTTTCCTTCCTTCCTTCTTCCCTTTGACTCTTTCCCTTCTCCATCCTTCTCTCCTTCCTTTCTTTCTCCCACCCTCCCTCCCTCAACCCCTCCTTCCCTTCCTCTTTCCTTCATTCCTCTCTCCTCCCTCCCTCTTTCCCTTCTCCTTCCTTCCTTTTTCCCTTTCACTCATTACCTTCTCCTTCCTTCCTTCCCTCCTTCCTTCCTTTCTCCCTCCCTCCCTCAATCCCTCCTTCCCTACTTCTTGCCCTTCTCCTTCCTTCCTTCTTCCCTTTCACTCTTTACCTTTTCCTTCCTTCCCTCCTTCCTTCCTTTCTCCCTCCCTCAATCCCTTCTTCCCTTCCTCTTTCCCTTCTCCCTCCTTCCTTCCTTCCTTCCTTCCTTCCTTCCTTCCTTCATCCCTCCCTCCCTCCCTCCCTCTCAATCCCTCTTTCTTTCCTTTCCTTTCCTTCTCCTCCTTCCCCTCTCCTTTCATCTTTTCTCCCCCCCTTCTTTCCCAACCTCTCCTTTTTTCCTCCCTCCCTCCTCTTCTCCTTTTACTTCCTTCTTTCCTCATCTGCCCATCTTCCCCCCCCCCCCCATCTCCTCTCACCCTCCCTCCCCCCCCCCCCCGCAAAATAAAATCCACCACTCAACCCAGGAATCAGAAACAAACACAGACAATTGAGCTGGGCTGCCTTCAATGCACTGGCAAGGATTGTTTGGAACAAAACAGGATTTAATTGCCACAGCTTAGCCGAGGGATGTAATTGCTCTGCGAAAGACAGGCAAAATATTTATGGGCCCTGGGATGTCAGCTTTCCTCCCCCTTAAAAATCCAGCTGTCTAAAGAACTAGGTGGGATGCAAAGAGGCTGAGCCAGCCAGAGGCAGGAGAGAAAGAGACAGAAAGTGTGTGTGTATTTGTGTATTTGTGTGTGTGTGTGAGAGAGAGAGAGAGAGAGAAAGAGAGAGTGTGTGTGTGTATCTGTGTGCGTACGTGTGTGTCCTCTTCCCACCCGTGATGCCTCTTTCCATCTGCAAAGAGTGCAATGGGTGTGTGTGTGTGTGTGTGTGCAGGGCTCCTCCTCCCTCCACATGCGTGGGAGTCCTGCGGTTTGCAGAGAGCTACAATTAATGCGTCAGCTGCGAAAGTTTTGCGATAGGAGAGAACAAAATAGGAGAAGCAAGAAGCCAAACCCTATCGGATATTTTGTTTTTTTTTAAATAAAAAATAAAAATAAAAGCAGAGAGCCAATGTTTAGAGTGCAGACTTGGGTTGATTTCCAGCTAAGGAAATGAAATTCTGAGCAGGCGGGGGTTGTGTGTGAAACCTTGGAGGGCAAAGCGTGAATAAACACCGAGATAGCCTCAGTTTCCCCAGGCAGCTTTGAAAAGGGAGATATTTTTTTTGTTATTGTTGTTGTTGGGAAAAACAAAACAAAAACTCACAACTCTTTAAAGCTGCGAAGAGCCTCTCCTGGCTGCCAAGGCGACAAAGCGCGCTGCCGTTTCTGCAAAGTGTGGGTGTTTGTGTGTGGTTTTTGTGGGTCAGTCTCAGCTTCGAGTTCCTCCTCTGTAAAATGCGGGGAAGGGGGACAGCTGTCCAACTATTTGGCCCCATTGGAAATAGCAGGATTTCTATTAAGACCGGGCCGAACTAGCACAAAATCTGGGGACCGTATTTTCATAAGGAAAACAAAAAAAACAAACTTATAATAATTGTGTTTATAATTTGGCTTTGCAAGAAAAATGCAAGAGCAAAAAACAGTAAAATAAATACATCAAAAAGGACATTTTTCCAAAATAAAAGATCGCTGTTTGTAATAAAGGAGCCTGTTAGAAAGGAATCCCTGACAATTATGAATCATAAATCATCCTGTAAAATTAACCGGCGGTCTTAACTCTAATGTGCGTTTAAAGACCAAATTGAAACCAGCAAAAATTTCCTCTTTCCAGACGTCTATAAGGCAAGCTTGCTTTGCCCGCTTACTTTTTAAATGCTTATCTCCCGAGGACAAAAATAAAAGTTTTCTAAATTGTATAAGCCATTTTTTTTTTTGAAGGGAGGATGGGATAAAATTGGTTTTAATGATGTTTATTTAACTTCACTGGCATTGTCCTCTTTCCTTTCAAGGCATTTTTTTTTTTTTGGCTGGAAATAGATTTTCTAAAAAAAATAAAATAAAAAGAACAGAAGAGAAGAGAAAGTACGGAGAAAGTCCAAGAAAGTTACAAATTATCTGGACCCCTTATAAAATTCCAGGAACGAGGCATCGGAATTGCACAATATAACGTTCTCATCTATTTTATCCTTGGCCTATAAACTCCAGGGAGCTTTTAGCCTCTAGATGGAGATGTTTCTAGTTTCTGAAAATTGCCAGAAGCCGGCTGAGAAAGTCAAGCTATTGGACTGTTGATTCCTGCCCTGTGTTTTTTTTTTCTTTTTTTTTACTTCCGTATCCGAGATTGAGCTGAAAATTTTAGCTAGAAAGTACCAGCAAAATAAATAAATCTAAAGGAAACTTTCTTTTTTTTTAGAAATAAAAGATAATTGTTTAGAATAATGGAGGTAGGAAATAAGTCCTCCACAGTTATTAATAATAAAATGATAATAATGAAATAATAATAAAAGAATGAAGAATAGAATACAACAGGATAGAAATATTGGAAGGAAATAGAATAGAATAGAAATATTGGAGTGAAAAAGAGTAGAATAGAATAGAAATATTGGAGTGAAAAAGAATAGAATAGAATAGAAATATTGGAATGAAATATAGAATAGAAATATTGCAGTGAAAAGAAGAGAAGAGAATGGAATAAAATAGAAGAGAATAGAATGGAATATAGAAGAGAGAATTGAATAGAATAGAATAGAATAGAATAGAATAGAATAAGGAATGGAATGGAATGGAATGGAATGGAATAGAATAGAATAAGGAATGGAATTAGAGTAGAATAGAATAGTATAGAATAGAAATATTGGAATGAAATAGAATAGAATAGAAATATTGGAGTGAAAAGAAGAGAAGAGAATGGAATAAAATAGAAGAGAATAGAATAGAATGGAATGGAATATAGAAGAGAGAATAGAATAGAATAGAACAGAACAGAATAGAACAGAACAGAACAGAACAGAACAGAATAGAATAGAATAGAATAGAACAGAATAGAATAAGGAAGAAAGGAATGGAATGGAATAGAATAAGGAATGGAATTAGAGTAGAATACTGTAGAATAGAAATATTGGAGTGAAAAAGAGTAGAATAGAACAGAAATATTGGAGTGAAAAAGAATAGAATAGAAATATTGGAATGAAATAGAATAGAATAGAATAGAATAGAATAGAATAGAATAGAATAGAAATATTGGAGTGAAAAAGAATAGAATAGAAATATTGGAGTGAAAAAGAAGAGAAGAGAAGAGAAGAGAAGAGAAGAGAAGAGAAGAGAAGAGAAGAGAATGGAATATAGAAGAGAGAATAGAACAGAGTAGAGTAGAATAGAATGGAATGGGCTATAGAAGAGAGGAGAACAAGAATAGAATAGAATAGAATAGAATAGAACAGAACAGAATACAATGAAATAGAATAACAGAGTTGGAAGGGACCTTGGAGGTCTTCTAGTCCAACCGCCTGCCTAGGCAGGAAACCCTGCACCTCTTCAGACAAATGGTTATCCAACCTCTTCTTAAAAACCTCCAGTGATGGAGCAGCCACAACTTCTGGAGGCCAGCAGTTCCCCTGGTTAATTGTCCTCCCTGATAAGAAGTTTCTCCTTCATTCCAGGTTGCTTCTCTCCTTGATTAGTTTCCATCCGTTGTTCCTTGTCTTGCTTTCTGGTGCTTTGGAGGATAAGTTGAACACCCCCTCCCTTCTTTATGGCAGCCCTTCAAATATTAGAAGACTGCTATCCTGTCCCCCCTAGTCCTTCTTTCCTCTAGACTGGCCATACCCTGTTCCTGCAACTGTTCATATGTTTTTGTCTCCAGGCCTTTAATCATCTCGGTTGCTCTTCTCTGCACTTTTTCCAGCACTTCAACATCTTTTTTCAACATCGCTACCCTCTATCTGGATCCAGCCAAAAAAAAAAATCAGATTATTTTTTGGGCACCTCCCCCAGAGCTGAGCAACGGAGTAGCTGCCCGTTTGCAAAACAAAACTCCAGAACAATTCACTTTCCAAAGGGGACCAAGCGCTTTTTGCTTCTTCTCCACCTCTTATCACCCCGCCTGGCTAGGTCTCTGCATTGCAAAGCTGTGTTATTTTAATTATTTCGTGGCCAGGCTTTCCAAGCTGAGCGTAGTGAAAAGAGACAGAGTCCAGCTCTGGGTTTTCCATCTTGAAAACGAGGACCCGTTCGAGCCTCAAGGAAGAGAGTCACCGATTCTTAGGTTAACGCAATGCCAAAGCTGCAATTCTGCAACGCAAACAGACTGAATTGATTTTTTGTTTGTTTGTTTCGTTTTTCATTGTGGGTCACTGGAAAAGGGGGGGGGGGAAAGAGCCTGGAATTGTGAGTGTCTCCTGTCCATCTTTTTCCAGCTGCGGTCTGAATGGCTGGTGGGAAGAAGAAGGGAGAGCAACTACTAACGCCTTTCCGGTTTTGCCTCTCAGCCTTTGCAGCAGCTAAAACAATAATTTTTCTGAGCTAATATCTTTTCAGCTTGTCTGTATGCATTTTTTCCTTTTTTCCTTTTTTTTTTAAACAGGGCCTCTACATATTCCTGGTCTATGCGCTCTATAACAGCGAGGTAAGACTGGCCTTGGAAAAACAGCAGCTTGTTAAAACAAAACAATCTTCCACAAGTTTCTAGTCCTTAAGATTTTAAATATACATGCAGGAAGGTGTGGCTGGGGGCTGGAGAAGCCTGATCTATGGGAGAGGAAGCCTGATATATATATATATATATATGAGAGAGAGAGAGAGAGGGAGGGAGGGAGAGAGAGGGAGGGAGGCTATAAAGAAGATAGATAGATAGATAGATAGATAGATAGATAGATAGATAGATAGATAGATAGATATAGATAAGGATAGATGAGAGAGAAAGAGGGAGAGACGATAGAGAGATGGATGGAGAGATAGAAACATACATAGATAGGTAGATAGATAGAAAGATGATAGAGAGAGAGAGAGAGAGAGAGGGAGAGACGATAGATGGATGGAGAGATAGGAAGATACATAGGTAGGTAGGTAGGTAGATAGATGGATGGATGGATAGATAGACAGATAGATAGAGAGATGAGAGAGACAGACAGACAGACAAACAGATACATAGACATAGACATAGAGATGGAGATAGAGATGAAGATAGATATATAGATACAGGTATAGTGCCTCAAGATTAGGAGATTATGTGCATCAATTATACAGAAGTTTAAAAAAATGCTGGCTTTTTCAGTAAAACAAGCATGTTATTGCCAGCTGGGGATTCAGAGAGCACAAACAGATCCATACAATTCATTTTATGTTTTTGCTTGTTGTTGCACTCACAAACTTAAGGACCAATCATTCAACCGTACGTTGGGGTAGACATCTCAACGCGAGGCCAGATTTCCTATGATGATTCTCCCCCCCCCTTTTTTCCTTACCCTAAAAGAGGGAAAACCTACAGCCAAAGAACCTGCAGGATTACCAGATGTTGCTAAGTGGCCTCTGCCTGCAGCCCCACAGAGCGGGGGAAGTAAGGGACACTGGGAGGTGTCGTTTGCCATTATGGGGAGATGTCATTCAATCGTCCGCCTTCCCCCCCCCCTTCCCCACGAGATACTCAAGGAGAAAGAGTTTGGAGAAGTGTAACTACGACACTCATCTTCCCCCATCTCCCTGCTCTGTCAACTGTCGAATTGGGAGGTTTCTCCTTCACCTGCACAGAAAATTTAGTCTGATCTGAATTTCACGCCTTCCTGAGTTCTGGGGAGCATCGTGGCTGGACGTTTTGGACCAAAAAGGCTGATCTCTATTTGTTGTTCCGTCTCCAGGTGCGGAATGCCATCCAGAGAATGAGGGAGAAGAAGAAAGCCCTGTCATTCACGGTAGGTCAATCAGAATAGATCCTGCTCAAGCAGGACAGGTAGCTGTCCAGTTTTCAGACAGGTAGCTGTCCAGTTTCTCCTGAAAAACCTCCAGTGATGGAGCAGCCACAACTTCTGAAGGCAAGCCATTCTAGCCAGTCTTCTGATTCAATTAATCAATCACAATAGAGGTGGAAGGGACCTTGGTGGTCTTCTAGTCTAGCGGTCGCCAACCAGTGGGCCGGGGACCACTGGTGGTCCACGAGAAAATTTTGGTCCACAGAGAAATGTCACCGCCCCCCCAAAGCAATTATTCCAGGCTGCGCAGGAACACAAGGCTGCGCCTCCTACATGGCCCACGGGAACACAAGGCTTGCGTCGCTTGCATTGCGCACAACCGGGAGGGGGGGGAGGGGGGAAAGGGGCAGGGGGGGGGAACTTGCCCTACTCACCCCACGCGTCCACCATTCCAAGATCTTTCCAGATCCTTCCATAAATGGTCTGGAAAAAATGGGTTGGCCAATATGGGGCAGCGACACGCCGGAGCTGTCTGTGTCTCTTGGACACCGTTTCTCAAGAACATCTGGATTTCTGTGATCCAGATATGGAAAGGCCTCTTCTGGGGCTGGCCTGGTAGAATTTCTGCCTGGGAACCTCCATATTCCCTCTCTTAAAAGACGCTAACATTGACAGGAGGCAAACCTAGTTTAGCTTCCTCCCGGAGGAAGTAACTTTCTGCCTTCAAAGTGGTAGGGAGCAGGGATGGGATTGGACCGGTTCGGATGAACTGGTAGTTCCGGGTATTTTGGGGTCCTACCCACCCACCTCACCCCTTTCCTGTGCTTTATTTCCTTGTTGTTGAGCACAGCTGATTCGCGGGGCAGAGCGGTTTCACTGGTGGTATTCTAGTGGTTCGGCATGGTTCAGCCGAACTGGTTCACTCCAACGATCAGCTGCCACCTTCCCCGCATCTATACTAACCTTTTGCATGGCACAGCCAAGGTTGAAAAGCAGGAAATAAGTAGCAGAAGGCGAGTTGCAAACGCTGCGCATGCATGGAGCATGCATTTGGTGCGCGCACGTAGGAAGCGCTCGCACGCGCGTGCAAAGCCCGCCCTCACACAGAACCAGTAGGGAAACTTTTTTTGCCACGGAGTGGTTTTGCCGCCCGTCGGCTGTTTTAGTCACCGGGGATGCAGCGGAAGGTAAGTATTGTAGCTAAAAACGGTCTTTTCTAAACGTTGTGTGCGCACGCTCCCCGAACTGGTTGTTACACCGGTTGAATCACTTAGGGAGCTGGATCCAACGATCGATGGACAGACCAGCAGGGCTTTCCTGCTTCCTCCCAGGTGTCCTGCAGGTTTTCTCTTTTCCTCTTGTTTCAGAACTGCTCCCACCCTGTCAATTACCTGTCGAGCCCCAGGAACACCTCCTGGGAGATGGCCAGGTTCAACCCAACCACCCCGGAGAATACAACCTGTTCCAGCGAGAAGGACACGGCGTCCAAGAGCAAAGGTAGGCAGAGCAGGTGGGCCTTCCAGCCAGCAGGAAGACACGCACTGCATTCAGATGTTGGTTGTTGCACCCAACTGATGCGCCTTTTCCTCACGTAGGGAACTTCAGTGCCAAAATGCCACGGAGCGTTTCGTCAATTATGTCACCTGAGAAACCGGTAAGTCCCGCCCAGCCACGCCCCCCTCAGAAAATGCCCTAAACCTGGGGTATCAAACTCGATTTCTTTGAGGGCCACATCAGGGTTGTGGTTGACCTTGGGAGGCTGGGGTGGGCGTGGCCAGGGAGGGTGTGGCCAGCTCGATGTAATTCGTATTGGGGAGAGGCACTTGTGGTGGCCAAGTGCTAAGGCAGGACTTCTCTGAGACCCTCCCTCCCTCTCATTATAATCTCCTTCTTTCTTTCCTTCCTTCCTCCCTCCCTCCCTTTCTTCTTCCTTCCCTGTTTTCCTTCTTTTTCCTTCCCTCTTCATTCTCCTTTTGTCTTCCTTCCCTTCTTTCCTTCTTTTTCCTTCCTTGCTCTCTTCCCCTTTCTCTTTCTTTCTTTCTTTCTTTCTTTCTTTCTTTCTTTCTTTCTTTCTTTCTTTCTTTCTT